CGTTTCCTTCCTAGTCATTTCAAAGTTAAAGTTGCTTAGAGGGTAGTGTTTCCCCAATTTGACACCCTTAGACGGCTCCGAAGGATTTCTGCTTCTAATATGTCATGGAACTAATCATTCCTGATTTTTCAAGACCAATTTCGATTTGACACCCCGTTGCCTTCCTAGTCATTTCAGAGTTAAAGTTGCTCAGAGGGTAGTTTTTCCCCCATTTGACACCCTTAGACGGCTCCGAAGGATTTCTGCTTCTAGTATGTCATAGAACTAATCGATTCTGATTTTTGAGACCAATTTCAAGTTGACACCTTGTTGCCTTCCTAGTCATTTCAGAGTTAAAGTTGCTCAGAGGGTAGTTTTTCCGCCATTTGACACCCTTAGACGGCTCCGAAGGATTTCTGCTTCTAGTATGTCATAGAACTAATCATTCCTGATTTTTTGAGACCAATTTCATGTTGACACCCCGTTTCCTTCCTAGTCATTTCAAAGTTAAAGTTGCTCAGAGGGTAGTTTCTTCCCATTCGACACCCTTAAACGGCTCCGAAGGATTTCAGCTCCTGGTATGTCGTGGACTGGATTATCCATGCTTCATAGAAGATCATTTCTGAGGTGACATCTCGTCTCCTCTAAAGTCATTTTAGAGGTGAAATATTTTACGGTGTAGATTTTCCCCGATTTGTCACCCTCAGTGTATGTTATGAATTAAATCATTCCTGATATTTTTCGACCAATTATAAGTTGAAATATCATCATGTCCTTCTCAGTCATTTGAGAATTGAAGTGTTTCAGAGAGTAGTTTTTTCTTGATTTTGACAGCCTTAGAAAAGATTCTGCTTACTGTAGTGTATATCATGTCGTGAAATGCAATAGTTGATATTTCATTCCAGTTTTTTTTCTCATTCGGGTGTCCTCAGTTTTGGCCGCCAAATTTTGGGTGCTAAGTTCACAAAAATTGTTCTCAATTGACGCACGCCAATGGTCAATCGGGTATTTTCGTGATTTTGGCCGCTGAGTTTCGGGTGCTATCTTCACACCGGTCAATTTGTTTCGGATAAACTTTTCGCACGTTTCAAAAATAAACTTTTTATAGCGCTTTGAATGACAACGTGCAACTTTAGATAGGCTATGCACACGCACAGTGAGTGAGACAGAGTGCGATAGATACTGGTGCATGAGTGCGGAGCGAAGATGAAATAATATCAAGAGCTCCATCCACAGATATGATGAATATACTAGATTTATATCGATAAATTTACATATTTGCTTGCTGAGAATGTCAATTTTCATATAAAATATTGAATCTAACTGAAATTCATCACATATTCCTCTGAAAAACTAGTGAAAAGTTTGTTATCATAAATCTGAGACCCGATGATACAACACAGTATCTGGAAGAAAATAACACGATTACCTATATGTACTGGAAGATTTGGATTCTTCTGGTAAATGTAACATAATTATAGTGTATCTGCAACCTCATGAATGCACTTCAAGGATAAATTGTTAGTTACAGAACTATTCATTATTATGAGGAATTATAATTTTGTCAATAAAATATTTCGATGGATTGTATATCAAATTATTTCAATGTTCGCAAAATATATTAACAATTTAATCGATTCACTAATTATTATTTATACATATATCATTGTTATTTGAGTAGTTGAAGTCGATCAACATGTACTTATTTGCATTTGCATTTCAAATTATTGTCTCTATAGCATTGTCTTTTTTTTCAAAATTGCATGATTTGTCAGAGCAAGAAATATTAAGCATTTCTTGTATATCTCTGGATGTATAAGTGGTAGAGTTGAAAATACTGATGATTTCAGTAAACTTCCATCATGATCATTGCAGTTTTACTCTTGCAATATATTTTATATTGTATTGCACAGCCAGGAATGAATTAACTTTCTATACAATTTGGGCGAATTTCATTAATCAACAAAGTTATACTTTAGTACGCACCTCGGTACGAACTGTGTGAATGTATTTCCTGTAGAAAGAAGTTCGACAGAAGACTTGAAAGTATTGACAGTGAATTTGTGTCTTATTAGCTGATCTAAGGTCGTAACATTAGCGTCTTCGTTTCCTATATGTATATAATTCAATTACTTACATAATTCCTTGCTATGTCCACATAATCAAATAATGTTGATGAAGTAAACTCTCAATGTCGTCTTTTTTTTTCCTAGCAATATCTAATGCAAAATCTTTTCATTTTTGAAAATAATCACTTTAATCAGATCCAGTAAGGGCATGTAGAGCCGGTAGTTTCTTGCAAAATTCTATTCCTATAGACCATTAGGTACTGATAGAATTAACATAAATCAAGTATATGAGAAGTTTGACTGCATGGCCATTTTGGAAATAGAAATTTGTATTTCAAATAATAGAATCATAAGAAATACAGAATGATGACAGAACATCAGTATCATCCGACTAAAGAGAATATTACTGGAAGATTCGGATTCTTCCAGTAAATGTAACATAATTATCTGCAACCTCATGGATGCATTTCAGAGATACATTGTTTGTAACAGAATTATCCATATTATTATCCTACATTCACCCTTCCGATACCTCGATCCAGCGATGGTTTATTTCGGAATACTAAATGTCTGAATATTATCACAAATTAATATTTTCGCTAGAAATATTACCAGGTTATGTTCATTCCTGGACGCCTTTGAAAACCACTGAGATTTAGGAATGGAGCAATTTCCTTTTTTCGAAAACTTTTATAATTTGTATGTCCTCGTCTTTATTGCTCTATATTAGCTGGTAGAGATTCTACGATCATATCTGTCGAATACAATAATCACATAATTCGTTTGGAAATTTTTCATTTTGAGATCTTTTTTATTATTCATAAATAGAGCTGACCTAATTCACTGAATGTTCTTATCAACTCTTTCATCTCTTGAACTAATGAAAAAATAGGAAAAGAAACACTTATATCAACTCATATGAAACAAATGTCTACTAGATTTCTGTTTTTTCAAACGGCTATTGATTTGACTGAGGAATGGAAATCTTATTGGTCAGGCTATCATTGTCTAAATATATTAATGTGCAGGTTATTTTCGGCAGGATTTTTTTGACAGGATATTTTTGTACTGGATATTTAGTCGTGCTCCCTTCCATATAGACTCACCTTCTTTATTCATTGCATTCTTCTGACAATCGGAAAATGTTAAAATTTTTGACGTTGCCCCCGTTCAAAAACTTCATCCACTATCATTGTTTGAGCAGCATTCAAACATGTCATAAAAATTCTTCAATATATTTTGATATACTATTAATTGTCCAACTGCAATGTTCATTAATTTTTTTGGGGACTCATGTTTAGAAAATTCTAACATCTCCCAATATCTTCTTGTTCTTTTTTTTATACCATCATTTTCACTTCGTTGCCTTTGAAGTGAATTATTTTGGGACAATACATGTAACTGAAGTTATTTACCTACATATTCAACCATAAAATGACTCGTTTCAATCCATTGTAAGAATGTTACTAGCAAAAGAATCATCAAGAAAGCTCCATTCGCAAATGAGACAGTTATCCATCCCGAATCTTTACTGTTTGTTCTTGTCTAGAACACGTAAACGCCGCTGTATCGTTCTCACTCGTGCGCTCGGACGGCCTCTTACGTATAAGACAATAAACGCTTCTACAAAGTTTATTTTTGAAACGTGCGAAAAGTTTATAGGAAACAATTTGTTGCTCACATTTCAATATATCAAAAGATATCATAAAAATCGAAATTCATATCGTGAACTAAAAAGTTATGATAAACTGAAGAGATGACTGGAATTTTTTTCGCGAATTCTGTACAAAATGATACATTTTGGATCGAAAAATACTTCATTTTCCAACATATTATATATGAATCGAATCTCCAGAATATGCTTAATCATTCTATGAAAAGACTGCGTATATAAGTGCTATAATTGTGAAGGTACAAAGGATTATATATTTACGCGCGAAGTTTTTTTTCTTAAATTTTCGAGTTTGGCCGCTTATAACTTTTTTCGGTACCATAGAAAAAAGTAGTCAAGCTGGAATATTATGTAGTAATCATTTGTATTCAAGGTGGTGAAGGTCCCATATCTTTCTACTCCGAAAAAAAAAAGTCTGTAAGGAAGAGGAGTTTGCCTCGTTCTCCTCTACACTAATACAAGTTGAACTGCAACCTCTTTCGTCACGCCACTGGACTATACAATGCTGGTTTGATAACGTACAAATATGTGTTCTAGTATCACCATCGTCCAACAATATTGTATCTCGAACAAATCAACCAAGTTTCATAAGAATTGGAATTTGAATTTTCTAGATATTAAAGATGAATCAATTATTTTTTGAAACTTCATCACCCTGTATAGCGAAAACTAAGCGTTTACAGACCCATGTCTTCTTCTAGACTGAATAAGCTCTATAACACGCCTATATTGTTTCCTTTCAAATTCTCTTATTCATAAACAAAAAAATGACCCGTTTATTTTCCATCTAACCATCCCATCATCAGGTGTCATAACCAAAACTGGCTCTTCAAGAATGCCGCTTTGTGAAAAATCACGCAAAAATGGCTCTGCTTTCCTTTCTACAGACTTCGTTTATGATTTTGGCTACACGTGTGACTTGTGCTATTGTGGATTGAAAACAACTTGAAATCTATTGAAAATGGTAAGAATTTCCATTCTTTCCTTCGAGTGTGAATACTGGCAGCTATAGAGAAACAATTCCAGTGCGTTGATAAATAGATCTGCTTCAGTGAACAATTTTATTTCATTATTTCAAAGTAAGTTCACCGACATAAACTTGTTCACAGTCACAAATCGTTTCTCCCTGTTTTTGTTTAGAACAAATGAATCGAGTATACTATCGCTACAAGGTTGTTTCAAAACAGATATGTCTTTTCAATGCCCAAAGGGTGTAGTTACAAATACGAAAACAACTGATTTTAAATTTTAGGGGGAATATTATATAGAAAATCACTTACGACAGTTCCATGGGTTACAAATGAAGAAAATATCGTTGTCATATTCGAATATTGCCACTTCTTGAGATGGATTACGGAAGCTGGTTTCTACTTGGAGTCCCCAAATTCCCACTGGAATACTGGGTGGGGCAAATATCTACAAAACATCGAATGTTCATTGTTCATTTCATTATCAAAATAATAGTTAGTTAGTTCTTCAACGCATGTCAAGGAGTAATATTCTATTGATGGAAAACGGATTTGTAAACCCAGGTAACCAGCAACATCACGTCGTGGCGACGTCTTTATTTGGTGATAATTGGTTAGCTACGTCATTGGTCAGTGTTTAGTAGTAATTACGACGTCGACTTATTGACGTCCTATATGTACATACGACGTCGGTACAACGTCGATTTTGTGACTTCAATAGAATCTTATTATTTGCGATTTGCATATAATCTAGAAGTTAAAAATTTTGATATAGGTACACCCCGAGGAGAAAATGCGTGTCAAGAGCAATTCGATTCGGCATTCGGCTGTATAAATTTCAGAGTTTTTCGCCTAGCATGGTATATAGGTAATTGATTCAAATAGATACTATACATACCTACTCATTTGTATCATACATAATCTATATAGTTTAAGTCCAAGAGCCGGTTGCAAATTTCGACCAAATTTCATCTGGAAACGAAATGATATGTGTATGTACATATGTCCCAAAGGCATGTAAAACCATGGTAGTATATCGAACGGCACCCGTGCCAATCACTATCCTAAGCAAAATTATTGAAAAATTGCACTTTCCTGTGCGAGAATTTGCACTTTATTTCGCGATTTGATAACGAGATAAGAATTAAAAATCTACCATCCAATTGGTATCGGATGAGATAACAATTAGATGGTAGATTTCAAAAACCTAACTGTGCCACCCTTCAGTCTGAGCCAAGCGGCACAGCGATTTATTTGCTGATATTATTCCGGACATACTTCCTTCAAGTGATAACGAGTTGAAGCAAGAAGAAAATGAAAGATGATTGTGCCGCTTTTTCGAATATCCAAACGTGCGACAATTAAAACTGATCTGAGTTAGTGGCAGAGCGTCAATACTTTCAAAAATATCTATCTCCCCTCTGAAGATTATATTCGATGAACCAATGTCAAACTCAACATGTGGATTAGAATGATCCATCGGATATTATCTTTCGACGAGAGCGAAATATTCACGAACATGTTGACGCTCTGCCACTAACTTTTATTCATTTTCATTCATTTATTAATTTTTAAGATAACATACATATCAGCGAACTATATCAATAATAATATAATATTTTTTTATATAATATAAAAATTTGATCAAAAAAGTTGAAAAATTGTCCATGATCTTGTAATTTTTTTTTATCCTTCCACTGACTAACTAAAATTCATTTTCTCATTGAGTACAATTGAAATATTAAATGCATCTTTATACAGTCTGTCCAAGATAAGGTTGAACAGCATGGGGATCTCGAAAACGGTAAGAGCTACGAAGTCGGTTAAATGGGGAAAAAGTTGCGCATTCGGAGGCTCATGTGAAGAGCCTTCGAAAATTTTGAAAATTATTTTTAGTTTTTGAGTTATATCGAAAAAAGTGAATTTTTGGAATTTCTATTTTAATTTTTTTCTTCGTTATTATTAGAAATACAGAAAAACTGAAAATACTTTTTTAGAGCAACTTTTGATGACGTTTAACGTGGTGATACCGATTTTTTATGCGACGTTTCGTATTCGTGGAACCATCATCAACTTTTGTTTTTTTAAATACTGTCCTGATAATTTTTTCACAGATTCTGAAAAGTTTTTTTTATTCTGAATTCAACCATGTATTATACAAAGTGGTTTATGTGTGTTTCGACCTATTTTCAGCCATCATCAATGTTTTATAGAAATTCCAAAGGAAAAATGCCATCAGTTCAACTTATTTTGAAGGAAAATTAGTCAACACACTAATACCTCATCAACTGGTTTCAATCAACAACTCATTTCATTTTGCGGAAACAAAAATTCCATCCATACAAATTCAGAATATGTCAAGCGCTAAAACCAGGCGAGGACATTCTGTGAGTGGTATACCAGGAAATGTTAAAATTTTGCAGATTTCCCTCGAACAATAATCTGGACTGATGAAAGCATGGTCACTAATCATGGTATCTTCGATAGAAAAAATACACATTATTGTTCACGAGAAAATGAACATTTATACAATACAGCGAGACACCAACACCGTTTCGGCTTTGATATGTGGGTTGCAATATTTGGTATACGAATTATTGGCCCTGAGGAAGCTCTGGATGATTCACCGATTGCGGAAGTTCGGAACTGTTGGTTTCAACAAGATCCGGTACATAATTCCAGAGAAGTCCGTGCATTTTTATCCAGAGAAATGGATTGGTTCCGAGATTGGTACTCATTCTACAGTCCCTTGGCCGGCGCGGTAGCCTGATTTGACACAGCTGGATTTTTTCTAAGAGGATATATCAAAAACTCTGTATACGCAAATTAATTTTGATGATGAAGAAGAAATAAGGGCCAGTGTCATCGAAGCATTCAATAAAATAACCTCAGAAATGCTTAGTAATGTCTTAGAAGCAACTGTGAGAAGAGGATATCTTTGTTCAGAAATAGTTATCATTATGAACATTTGTTATGAATGTCTCTGTAGGTATTGTCAAAGTTAAGTTGTTAAAGTAATTCGTGCAAGAATTCATCAACAATTTTGAACGCTGCATTGATCGAATGATTGTGTGAAATATTTTTCATTCACTTTTCAGTATTGAATAACTAATCCATCAAGTTTGACACCAAATGATCAGAAATAAGTGGAACTGATGGCTTTTTTCCTATGGAAGTTCGAAAAAACATTGATGATGGATGAAAATAGGTCGAAACACATTCGAATCATCTTGTATAGTACATGGTTGAATTTATAATAAAAAAACGTCACAGAATCTGTGAGAAAATTATCAGGACCGTATTTAAAAAACAAAAGTTGATGATGGTTCCACGAATTCGAAACGTCGCATAAAAAAATCGGTATCACCACATCAAACGTCATCAAAAGTTGCTATGAAAAAGTATTTCCAATTTTTCTGTATCTCTAATAATAACGGAGAAAAAAAATAAAATAGAAATTCCAAAAATTCACTTTTTTCGATATAACTCAAAAACTAAAAATAATTTTCAAAATTTTCGAAGGCTCTTGATATGAGCCTCCAAATGCGCAACTTTTTCCCCATTTAAGCGACTTCGTATCTCCTACCGTTTCCGAGATCCCCCATGCTGTTCAATCTTATCTTGGACAGACTGTATTATCTGAAAATAACTATAGAAAACATGAACATGAAATGTTGCCTAAGTATTTTATCATATAATCAAATTTCCAAAATTTCTAAATTTTCAATCAACCACGATTTAATTTTTTGCTTGAATCTGAAATAAACTGATTTTTTCAGAGAAAGAGGCAATTCATTGTAAATTTTTTTACCCATATGAGTGGCATGTTATTGCATTAAAGTTGAAGAGAGTTTCTCAGTCGACATCCAACCATCAATTTTATGTTTGGTGTCATATTTATGTTTCACATGATTATAGTTTCGTGAATGTTTTCCTATGTATATTGTTGATGTTTTATAAAACAATTGAAAAACAGAAAGAATGTTGAGTTTGACACTGGTCCATCGGATATTATTTTCAGAGGGGGGTGACTGGTGAGATATTTTTGAAAGTGTTGACGTTCTGCCACTAACTTAGAAACAGCCTTAGCCCTGTGCAGGGAACACCACAGGGCTGGACCAACCCCTTCCCCCGTCACTCGTAGGAGAAGGAAAGCTTTTGGCCTTCTTCGTAGACGAGAACAGGGATCGGAATAGCAATCTTCAGAGACCTGAACGAGAAGGGTCTTTCATATTGAAGTGGCCCTTAATAGGCATCATGAGTCGTATGTGGTAAAATTGATAACGGCATATAGGTGAGATACAATGGGCCACTAGGCCTATGTGTCGTCGGAGACATCGGTCAGACCAGCCTACAACGGGGTGGAGTGTTTAGTGGGTATACCATGGAGGGGACTCCCACACTATCATATGGGGGATTGGACCCATATGATGTTTATAAAAGATTTCAACCACCTCGGCAAAAAAAGGGGGGACATTATCCCTCGCATTATCCCCTTTCATTTGCTTTTTGTTTCAACTCGTTATCACATGACGGAAGTATTCCGGAATAATAGGAGCAAATAAATCGCTGTGCGGTGGATTGGCTCAGACTGAGGGGTGACACAGGTAGATTTTTGAGATATACCATTCAATTGGTATTGGATGACATAATTCTCACCTCGTTATCAAATCTCGAAATCGAGTGCCAATTTCCGCACAAGAAAGTGCAATTTTTTAATAATTTTGCTCAGAATAGTGATTGGCACATGTGCCGTTCGAAGAACTACAATGTTTTTACTTTCCTTTGGGATATATATCATTTCGTTTTCAGATGACCCACTGTACGCATGCTTTGATTTTCGGACCGACAGGTATTTTTAAATCTCCCGCGATATTGTATTCGATCATTACTCTCCTCGTGAAAGCTGGCCTTGCGCTTGTGCCTTGTCTGTGGAGTCTGCGTCATAAAATAGAAAAGCGGTGGGGAGCGTAATCACTGTCAGTCATATCAATGTTGTCGGGTTGTGTTGATTTTCGTTAACTTGAAAAGAAGAGAATAGCATTTCCACGAATTCGCATGGGAGTGAAAAGAGACTATTATTCAAAACAACACAATGTAACTTGGCCAAAAGAAACCTTTACTCTGGAAAATAATCATGTCGAAACTTTTTCTCAGCAGTAAATGCCTCCACAGTAATTTTTTCAGGAAGAAAAGAAAATATCCCTCCTGCATAAAAAAGGACGTTACTTTTTCAAAACCATCTAAAGTTACTCGGCCTAAATAAACCTTCTTTCTAAAAAGACAGTACTTTTTTCAGGGAGGCAGGAACATATTTCTCCTGCATGAAAAAGGACAATACTCTTTCAAAACTATCTAATCTTGATCGGCCTAATGAACCTTCATCATGAAAATTGAATTTTTTGGAAAATCACTTGGGAAAACAGAATTTAAAAAAAGCCGACCGTCGCAGGCATTGGACCTTGGTCGCCTCATGGGGATTCAAACGCACAGTCAACTACGCCACGAGTCGTAGTAAGGGTGATAGTACGAAGAAAGAATTTAGTCGCTGTACACGCACATGCTGCGCTGATTATATTTGATACCTATTGTCACCGATCATAAGACTTCAAATTCGAACAAAGAAGCGATAACTAGCTTCGCTGCACTTCCCTCACCATTCTAAAATTTATGGCAATTCTCAGACGATACTTTGTGTGTCCCTTTTCTGCCTTGCTTTACAGAGATGGAAGTTAATTTTACTGTTTCTGTTTACGTTTTGCAAGTGATATGTGAGAACAAATTGGAGTTATCGGACGAATTATTCGTGAGGAAAGTAAGTAAAATTTATGTTGAATACCGACATTATAGTATCCTTGATCAAATACTCTTTGGAAAGTTTCTGAACAAAAATAGTAATGTGTACCTAACCTCAAAAGCATGGTTCATAAGCACGATCTCATAAGTATTTCCCACTGGTATCTACCGATTCCTTCATTTGAATTTTTTCCAAGTGGAAATACGATATCATTGGACTACTTGTTTGAATTCAGTTCTATCGAGTTATTGTTGTAAGTACAAGTAATTGGATATCAAGGGATTTGCCATGTGATTTCTTGTTATATATGATCGAAAATGTTGATTCACTATGTCAACAATTTTGTGTCTCACGCAGGTTGTAACCATATGTATTAGGTTAACCTTTAACTATGTATATTAGTCAGGTAGTGTTGAGATCCAAATATTTACTATATTAGGTAGGTAATCTTACTTTTCTCAGTAATAACTCCAACCTATGTAATTTGTAGGAATTAAAGATTTGACCATCAAGCTCTGCAAAAAGAGGAATTTACAGGGGATCCTTGAAAACTTTTCCATGATGCAACAGTTTGTAGTGAAACAGGCAGGCAAAATCCGAGATATGTCATGTTTGTGTGGCAAAAAATCGTGTTTTATTGTCATGAGAACCTACCTAACAAAAATATAACTCTTTTCCAATCCACAATAAATGTTTCTCTTATGATAACCTGTATACAATATACTTAGGTATGACGTATTATGACGTCCCAAAACGTCGAATAAAGGTCTTAGTATGACGTCACTAATTGACGTCGTGAGGACGTCACTGAAATGACGTCAAAATCATGTGACTTATTCTCGTCGTGACGACGTCTTATAGACTTTTGATTATACCTGTGTACCTATATATACCTTCATATTAAAATAATAATAATGATGATAGTCCACATCAGGCTTTTATTTTCCTTACCTCCATAGTGAGAGTATCCGATGTTTCCTGTAAAACATTTCCAAACCAAAATTTTTGTTCGTCATCCATGAATGATTTTTTGGTAGGATCAACCTGCACTACTCCTCTAGTGCCCTTGATTGTATTCGGATTCGGACCTGGAAATATCGATTTGGATACATTATATGATTTTTTTATGCACCTAAACGTAATTTGTGTCAGCAATGCGGTCCGCATAATCCAATTTTGCAGTCGTTGCCTAAAGGCGTATCCCAGAATTTCCTTACCAAGCGAAATCTTATGCCTCTTCACTGAAGATATGACCTCAACTTTTTTTCTCAAATTTATTCCATCGATGTTCAATTTCCAACTCATTTTGAACACAAAAACATTCACAAATATTTATCAATGCCTCTTAACCAGATTTCATAATGAAAAAAGTAAAGAGAATAGTCATGACATGGGTACTGTACACTAGTGTACAGTATACCAATTGATAATAAGTATACTAGAATCCTGGGCAACCGCTGCCTACAGTCAGAGTCATGGTGAATATCTCTTTTGTTCCTCCTCCTTACCAGAATTTCTCACTTCAAATGTTCAAATGAAACGTCATTGATGGTATATGAGTGATTCTATCTTCACCTTCGCTGGAAGTGTTAGGAATTTCAGATTCTCAAATGAAACATCCTGTATATTATTACATTTTTCAAATCGACATAGTTTTCTGAATTGCAATTTCAACCCATCCGAAATTTGTTGAATTAGATTAGTAATAAGATAAGAAGTTAATATTTTAGGAAGAATTTGTTTTTTTATTTTGATTTTTATGAAATAAATCAGAGGGTGCATTTGCAATTTGAAAATGCAGTGGCTCCAGCAGAAATGTTCTCCTGCTATACAGACAGCTAAATATTTAGTGCTGAACTACAGATAATAATTCATCACCACTTTAGCTCAGAGAGAGTAAAAGAATACTCATGGTAGTGATGGTTTCTTTTTGTTAGGATCCGAACCAATATTTAGTGTTCATGATCAGTATTTATTTTAGGAGCACTTAGTTTGGAAAGCAATAGGTTGGTGAATATTCAAGCTACCAATGCCAAATACGAATTTTTGTCGATATAAACATGGCTTATTGATGTTGAAAGATATTTGAACATTTGTAATTTGTTTTTCATATTAGGCTTGCCTCCTTAATTAATAGATAATATATAATGAGACCTCGTTGTTTTCATGACTAAATTGTCTAGGATCAACAACAATTACTTATTACCCAAACTGATTCGGCTATATGCACTAGACCTATGTTTTTCCGTGATATAATCAATGATTTTTCTCACCATAATTGAAGATCAAACGGACGGCATCCATGTTTGAGTCGTACGGTCTGTTCAAAAATCTCAAAGCTACAGTGAACTTTTGGCCTCTGCGGAGAACTGAAGTGGGAGCCTCTTCGTCTTGAACCAATTCATATCTGTCGGTTTTGTGAAGCTTGGCATTTTCTTTCGGGTATAAATAAACCATTTCCACTTCCAGAGCCATCTTCGAAAATGTTCTGGAAAACCATTCGAAATTATACAGGGTGTTCCATTGGGAAACGGAAAAAATTCAACGGTGAGTCGAGCTCATCAAGGTGGTTCTGAATATACCCTATTTGTAGGGTCTCACAAGTTTTATATCCGAGATATAGGGTGTTTTATCAATTTTGCCCAATTCTTTGTAAGTACATAACTTACGAACCACTTGGTATATTCTTTCGCAATTTGGTACACAATTCCTTCTTTTTCTACCAAAGCAACTCACCTATCAGTCACGAAAAAAATCCAGGTCCGGATTAACAAAAGTTGATAATATTTCTGGACACCCTGTATTTTCGAATTCTCAAAATCCGCTTACATATTTGGAAAGTGCACAAAAAGCTGAACCGAATGGTGTACTTGTCATTTTTCCGCATGCAATTTCACTACAGGAATTTCTGATTTTAAATTCGAGATTTTATGCATTTGGATAGGTAAAATAATATGTTTAGAGTTTTCCCAATCGAATAACAACAATTATCACGAACCACCCAGTATATTCTTTTGAAAGTTGGTACACGAGTTCTCCTTATTCTATCCAAGCGCTTCACCTATCATCCACGAGAAAAATCCAGGTCCGGATTAGCGAAAATTGATCATATTTCTGGACCCCTGAAAAGAACACCCTGTATTTTCGAATTCTCGAATCCGCTTACATATTTGGAAAGTGTACAAAAAGCTGAACCGAATGGTGTACTTTTCATTTTCCCACATGCAATTTCACAAAGGAATTGCTGATTTTGAATTCGCGGTTTTATGCAATTGGATAGGTAAAAATAACATGTTTTGAGTTTTCCCAATCGAATAATATTATCACGAACCACCCAGTATATTTTTTTACAATTTGATACACGTGTTCTCCTTGATCTACCCAAGCCCCTCACCTATCATTCACGAGGAAAATCCAGGTCCGAATTAATGAGAATTGATCATATTTCTGGGCCCCCAAAAAAAAACACCCTGTATTTTCGAATTTCCATAATATGCTTACATATTTGAAAATTGCACAAGAAGCTGAATCGAATTGTCTACTTTCCGTTTTCATACAAATGCTATTTCACTACTGAATTTCTGATTTTGAATTTGAGGTTTTATGCATTTGGATAGGTATAGAAATCGAGGTAAGATGGAAAGTTTTGAGTTTTCAGAATAAGGAAATAATCAGTGAAAGAACATGCGGGATATTAAAAAGTACACAACTCAATTCACCTCTTTGTGAACTTTCCAAATATGGAATCGGATTTTGGAAATTCGAAAATACTGGGTGTTCTTTTTCGGGCCCAGAAGATCATAATTTTTCGTTAATCCGGACATGGATTTTCATCGTGACTGATAGGTGAGTCGCTGGGGTGGAAGGAGGAGGACTTGTGTACCAAATTCCAAAAGATTATACTGGGTGATTCGTGATAGTTTCTGTTATTCGATTGGGAAAACTCAAAACATTTCATTTTAACCTATCCAAATGCATGAAACCTCATATTCAAAATCAGAAATTACCTAGTGAAATAGCATGCGGAAAAATGGAAAGTACATCATTCGATTCAGATTTTCATGCACTTTCCAAATATGTGAGCGGATTTTGAAAATTCGAAAATACAGGGTGATATTTTTGGGGTCCAGATATATGATCAATTTTCTCGTGACTGATAGGTGAGTCGCTTTGGTAGAAGGAGGCAAAATTGTGTACCAAATTCCAAATGAATATACTGGGTGGTTCGTAAGTTATGTCCTCACAAAGAATTGAACAAAATTGATAAAACACCCTATATCTTGGATATAAAACTTGCGAGAACCTACAAATATGGTATATCCAGAACCACCTTGATGAGCTCTACCCACTGTTGAAGTTTTTCCGTTTCCCAATGGGACACCCTGTATACTTATGTACTATGGAAATACCTATCGAAGTTAGTTGTTATAACATTTTTGTTCGGATGGGTAGACTTTGCGGACTTTGCTGCCGATTGGCTATTTACCGCAAAAGAATCATTGTTTTATTTGCATTATGTGGAATGATCATACCACACGATAAGAAGTTCCTAATATCTTCCCTGACTTAACTGGGGGACACTTTACTTTAGTTTTGAAATCTTGCGGACTGGGTATTTTAGAGAGTCTGAACATCAAACTTTTCACACAAATCAACTTACAGACAAAGACAGTTTTCAAAATGTTCCTTTACCACTAGTTTCCCTAGGAAGCACTTTATTCGTGTGTTTTTTTCATAAAATTTGCGAACCGGATATTCTTTTGAAAGTTGAATCATGCCAATTTTTACAAAACTCAAATTACCAAATGATAATGCACGACACGATCATCAAATTTTCCTGTATCCCTCCTAGGGAGCACTTTACTCGCGTGTTTTTTCATGTATTCATGAGACTGAATTCATTTCAACTCTCACAATAATCAACTCATCTCATGAAAATACACGAAATAAAGATTTATTGGCAACCGTCCGGGAAGTTCCCACTTCTCGGACGCTTTTTCTTTGAAGCCTAGTCTGGAAAGTACGTACTTCCTGGACTAGGCCGGGAAGTATCACATCGTTTTCGTCACTGTAATTTAATCTATGCTGTAACTATGAAAATGTTGGTAGATATGGTTTAGATAAATGCAGATGATAATTACCATAGCCGCGAATAATCGGCTGACAGCTATTTGACATGAAATTAGTTGACATTTTGATTTTTGGAAGTTTGGTTGCAATTATCGCAATAAACTATCGAAAGCAGCTGCGATAGTGAGTTTGAAAATGTTCATACGAAATTTCCAATGTAACAGTTAGGGATATGGGTATTCTGTTCAAATTTCAGTATTTGATACAAATGATAATCAATAAATGAGAAATTGTATTCTACAGAGAAATATAATATGGAAATGTGTCTCATTGATCTGCTATTCTACATGGTTGCCGAAAAAATACTGTACGCAACGCACGTCGATCCAAAAGGACTTACTATTTCAGCCCCCCTTTGCGAGTCTAATTATCGCACTTTTCAGAAAAACGTATGTCATGGAAATACACGACATAGACAGTTTTTGAAATGTTTATATTGCCTTCCTGGGAAGCACTTTCTCGTGTGTTTTTACATGAAATTTGCGGACTGCGGAATTTTCTGAAAAACGAATGATCTCAACTTTTTCAAAACCTAACTCACCTGATGATAATGCACGACATAAACTTTCTGAAATTTTCCCCCAGCCCTCCTAGGAGGCATTTTACGAGCGTGTCTTTTCATGTATTTATGAGAAAGAAATCATCACAACTTCCACAAAAATCAACTTGTTCCATGAAAATACATGTGTTTTATCATAAAATATTGCGGACTGGATATTTTTGCGAGTCTAATCATCAACACTTGTCACAATAATCAACTTATCTCATGGAATACACGACATAGATAATTTTTGAAATGTTTGTCTCGCCCCCCTGTAGTGAAGCCGCATAGTATAACAATTGTGCATTTTGTTAGTACATTAAATGAAGCTGATTTTGATATATTGGGGCACTTCATGTTACGCATGCGTGAGATTTGGGAGCGATTTGCATTCACAGAGCGCTTTAATTCAAATTACTATATGTACAGTGTGGTCATTTAAGTGTGCAACATATGGGAATCTTTTTTGAATTGCACAACCAAAATACAGAAAGTGCCGAAAGTTGGTGCATGTTCGGTAATCATTTTAGGCGCACTGGTTGCAAGTCACACAGCAGACAAGGTAGGTCAAAAAATATAAAAATTGCTCAAGAGTAAAGTTCCCTTATTTCGGAAAATTCAGCAAAATGTTACTTTACTCCTGAGCCATTTATATATTTTCTGACCTACCCTGTATGCTGTTTGACTTGCATCCATTCTAAGTGCACCTAAATTGATTACCGAACATGCACCAACTTTCGACACTATCTGTATTTTGTTTGTGCAAACCCTATAAGAAATTAATGACTTAAATGACCACACTGTATATGGATACATTTTCAACAAAACTGATGTCCATTTATAAAGAAACCCCTAAAGGTCGATTTCTAATCTGAATGAGCTACATTTATGAAGGAGAAAATTAATATACCGGGTTATCCGCGTTTGAGTAATGACGTCCGTCCTAATGGAACATCCCATATATCATCACATTTTCGGAATGCTGAAATCCAAAAATATATCATACATATGTTTTGTATACAGTGCGTCTGTCAAATTCAATAGTGGATAAATTATAACGTCATTTTTCCTATCCACACAAATGATTCAGTATGTATTAATTAAATTTGGAAAAATGCTCGCATGAAATTAACGAATAACGAATTAATTCACGAATTGATCTAATATACTTTACAATAGCACTGAATTTAATGGACACATTGTAAACAAACCCTATATATATGATATATTTTTGAATTCAGCTTTCCATGGAGATTTCAAAAATTGAATAATATATGGGGTGTTTCATTTGAGAATATTGTCGCGGACTTCATTATTCAATTACTCTGTACATTCAATTTTCACTTAAAAACATGGTGATTTATTGAGATACAATAAGTTCAACAGGTCCCAGGAGATTCCTCAGAAATTCATCGTTTAGCTGTGTTTTGCAGTAACGAAAGCACTGATTAACTTTTTGGAACAATTTTATATTTGGGCATATTTCTGGCCATTAGAACATCAACGTTGGGACAAATATTTTATATCACCTGGAGCGCACGAAACGAATACCGTAGGGAGGATAAAGAGAGAAGGTAGGAAATTATAAGCTCTTGGGAATATTTACTTTGGTAAGGAATTCCGAAGCTTTGCTTTAATATAGACAAACAAGTTTTGGTAAAGACTTGTTCGACATATTTCGAGAATGATGACAAGGATGTGCAGAGGGGGCGTGGTATTCAATTGTAAAGTTTATTTATTTTTTAATTAATTATCAAAAAGTATGTCTCTTGGAGGTTTTATTGTTGATATCTTCTGGTGTGATTGAATTCAAAATA